CAATGCCAGTAGTGTGAAAGATTGAAATAGTAGGCATCAACAAATATTGCATAAACAGAATTTGAAGCTAGTTGATTGCCCTTTGAACAATGATAGTCCAGAAACGTGCACAAGAAATTCCCATGCGATGAGTAGTAGAATGGTTGCTTTGAATTAACTTGTGCCCAGAGAACCGTACCAAAATCAATGTTGAGCCCTGTGTAAGTCCCATAGATGATTTCCATAAAAATCTTACTGACACAATCCGATCCCATTACTCATTCAGAGAAAGCCTTGAATAATAGGGTAAAGAGCCCATTCCACTATGGCGACAAGTCAGGGTTTCTGCACTTTTAAATGGCGGTTAGGGTTTCCTTTCACCCCATTTGATAAAACATTTCCAAGATGGCTGAGTTAGTGACAGATTTAGGATCAATCATGTCTTCTGTTTAAGCAAGCCCTAAGACAGAGCAAAAGCAAGATTTAGTGATGGAGTTTGTTATGTTGTGAACTTCAAAAGTGATTCTTTGTTCTTCCTTCAGATAACTTGCAGAGGAGTAAGGTTTTGACAAAAGAGACATCGAAACACTTTCCGTCTTAGTCAGATTAGTAATTAGTGGAGAGTAGTTCAGGCATTCAGCAATAGGAAGAAGATAAATTTCATACTTGTAAGGATCAAGATCGATCACCAGGTTATGATTGGGATTAATGGCAAGAAGCAATGATTGTGTTGTTTGTTCTTGGATAGAAGGAGTTTCAGATGAACGGCCCATTGTCGATTTCTTGGAGAAGAAGATGAATAGTGGAGAGGTTTACTTGTTGTGACTCTTTGAGGGTTTTTATGGAACGACAAAATCCCTTTATACAATTTGTTTGGAGAGAGAAATTTGGACGTATGGTGTACCGGTCACTGAAAAGTCACCTAAAAAGATGTGATTGACAACTTCTACGTCAGACATGTTTGTCGGGCAACGATAATGTAGACGTCGTTTCAAATTTCACGTGCCCATTTGAATTTCTATCCATGAGAAATTGTTATGTCAGATTCACACTTTCACAATTATGTTGCGTTCCACCTGTCGCATATAGATACGAACCTTCGCTTTTAAGTAAACATGGGTTGAACTACAAAACTAAATATAAATGTGAGTGCCATGAACCAGACTTTTGAAAACTACAAGGATCTTCGTGCGAGAGTGTGTCAATGATAAAGAAATAAAGCAATAGATATATGTGGGATTTTTGTGATGTTTTTGTTTAAGACAAGAAACAATGGATTCCGGGCAAAGATCTCTTCCTTCCAAGACAAGAGAGACTAAGAAGTGTCTATGTGGTTCCCCATTGAATTATGATCACTGTTTATTGAGAAACAGTGAACGGTATCTTTTAAAGGTTTTATTTGGTGGTTCTATCTCCAACAAAACTACGAAACTTGATATAAGTCCGAAAGTTCGAATGAGTACTTGTTTGACTAGTGTAGTCAATTAAACAAGTAAGGTTTGGGAATTATTTTAACTGACATGGATTCACATTGAAATCTCAAAATATAAAAACTGGATCTTTTGGATAGCAACGTCTTAGGTCTAGAACATTTCATTAAGATCTCGCAAAAGAAAAAGAGATTTCTTGGTACAGTCCACGAAAGTGGATTTTCGTTAATTCCTTGGTGAAAAATCTAGAACATTTAATTGTTCACCTGCAATTCATAAAAGCGTGTTGAATTTTTGGTTTCACTCAGTTCATGGTTGAACGAAACTAAGATCATTAACATAGATGTTGTGTAACCATAAACGTCAGTGGTAATTTCTAAGAGCCTCAAGGGTTACAATCATGAATGCGAAAGTGATTGGTAGAATCAATTGGGAAGAAACGATTGGTAGAATCGATTCATTAAGGCTTCAAGATAGAGTCTTCGACGCTTCAGATAACATGAAACATCATGCTTCTAAGGACACTTAGCTAGTACATAGGTAAAGAGATTTATATATGCCCCATCATATGAGATGAGAGTGATTATGAATGTGTTCCTTCAAGAGATTCTCAATTATCTAATATTTTCGATATTTTATATTTTTGTGAAAATGAAAGAAATGAAAATAAAGACAAAGAAAATATTTTTGTAGTTTGGTTTTTCTGAAAAAAGAAATAAAACAGAAAGAAATAAATTATCTTTGAATTTTGGGAGTTTCTAAAAGGGAATTAAAAATAGGAGTAATACAACAACAAACTATGATAAATGATAGTATACATAATATACAAAAGGATATAGGAAGATCCGGACCACGAATGAACAGTGGACTGTGAGTCACCACGATCGTTCGCACCGATTCACAGTGTCAAACTAGACTATGAATTAATGCGAGCGTTCACACCGATTCGCAGCGGTAACTTTATGAATGCAAAAGTGGTTTAGGAATAGATTCAGCTTCCATCATTCCTAGGCCTTGAAGAATTCTATTGAAGGTTTTCAGGAAAGGCTTTTGTGAATATGTCAGCTAACTGATCAGCAGATCTCACGAAGTGTATTTCAACATTGCCATCTTCCACCTGATCCTTGATAAAATGATACCTCAGTGCTATGTGTTTCATCTTTGAGTGTTGCACTAGATTGTGACAAATGTGGATGGCACTTTCAGAGTCACAATATAATGGGATTCATTTCATATTCAGGCCATAGTCACTAAGTTGACTTTGAATCCATATCACCTGAGAACTGTAAGAGGTAGCAACAATATATTCATGTAACACCGAAAATTTTAAAATAAATTTTTCGTTTAAAAATCGTTTATCTCTTTATCACTTTTTGTAAATATCTCATTTTTGTTTAAATTACAAAAACATAACTCCATAATCAAATAAATAGTAATCTAGGATCCTCTTAAAATATAACTCTTTCTCTGGTGTGTACAATCGAGCCGGTGCCGTCCCGTGATCCTGAGAAAACCTGAAACACAAAGCACAAAACACTATAAGCACGAAGCTTAGTAAGTTCCCCAAAATACCACATATAACACATACTAGCCACTCGAGGCTATAACTATGTGGGACCTAGGGCCCTAACTCTGTGGACCCTCTGGTCCTAGCTCTGTGAACCTTCCGGTTCTAACTGTGATATACACATGGCATAAATCACATAGAAATAATGCAGTGCAACACAACACATAAATAGCATACAATAATTCTGTCACATAACTCTAATTACCACTCAAGGTAAAGTATAGTGAGAAGACTCACCTGAAACAAAGTCGGATGAACTCTCGTGCTCAACGTCCCGACCTGGCCTCCTCCTATTATTCAAATAACATCCCCAATAAATACTCTCTCATTGTCTAAGCTCTAAATATTGGGTAGAAGACCATTCTACCCTTCCCTGAACTCTCTTAAGTCAGTCTTGACCAAAACCCTAAAGTCAACGAAAGTCAACGGTCAAACTTTGACCCGACTCGTCGACTGCACACGGGCAACTCGGCGAGTCCACACGTGTGCACTAAATCCTCCTTCTAGCCTCGCTTGACACGTCGAGCCAACTCCTAGCTCGACAAGTTATACCTGGTATGAATCGCGGGGCAACCCCGACTCGACTCGTCGAGTCTCTCCATGGACTCGGCGAGTTCCCTCCATGACTATGCTCATTCGACATTCTGAGGCCATATCCGCTTTACCAACTAGTAGATCTAGCCTTCTATCACTCAAAAGTCACGTAAAGGTTCAAACATTATGATCATGCGACCCACAATTAGCCATAGATGGCGAAATAACCCTTAAAATGATCACCTAAGCTCCAAACTCATAAAGGACTGCATAAAGCTGGGGAATAGGGACTCTCTGGACCTCTCAAGGTCTAGATCTGAAGATATACACACAAGGGGACATCACATACTCCAGATCTCTTACAAAAAAGAAGAGAAGAGACCCTAGATTCATGAAATCTATCACACAAACGAATATGAATATGAATCCTTACCTCTCACAGTAGCTCTGAACGAAATGATGGAAGATTTGAGTCCCACAATACAGCCTAACACGAAATCCATCATTCCCCTTTCTAGAACACACCAAAATATGATGAATTGGCCCTCATGTTGCACCACAAGCTTTTTCTCTGTTCCCTAGGGTTCCTCAGCGTGTAGTGGCAGCAAATGAAGGCCATAAGGACCTTTAAATAGGTCCCAAACCTGAGAAATTAGGGTTTCTCTGCACAACACCTACTCGGCAAGTCCCTCCTCTGACTCATTGGGTCCACTCATTAAATCCGCGTGGAAAACCCATCTCGACTCGGCGAGTTGGATCCTTAACTCATCGAGTCTCTCCTTTAATAAAAAAGATTAAACTACACAATAATAACCCTGAAAATCCGGATGTTACAATTCTCCCCCACTTGAATTAGATTTCGCCCTCGAAATCATCCCTTAACCCCACATAGGTCTAATCATTAACCCGAAAGGCACTAACGAAATGATCTTCGTACCACACTTATATTTCCTCTATGGACATCCGAAACCACATAGTACCTCTAAAACCATAGTTTAAACCAACTCTTTCGCCGCTAAAAAATACCCCTTCCCAATAACCGGAAACTCTAGTGGCCTGATCTGCCGCCAGACCGCCTACTTGAACGATCACCATGATTTTTGCTCTTTGAATATCAACCCAGTTTCCTCACTGGCTCACTGATTCCCATAAGACCACAACCAACAACCGACTATCTCTCCTGCGACCCGATCATGCATACACATATGAATCACACCCCACGAATAAAGGGGTTCACACTCCACCGGGGCACATCTACTAGACAACTATCATAAATCCTCCGGACAAAGAATACCCCAACACTTTGTCCTTCGACACAAAAGCATAACC